TCACCAGCGTTATTCCCTTTCTGGAACTCCTACAGCATCACGTGTCGAAAATGGTCTTTCGTCACTTCCATCCTATGATTTTCTAATATACAGTATATAGACGATCGTGACTGACTGACTGACGCTAATTCTAACCATGTTCCAGAAAGGTTAGAAATCTGAAACTTGGTACACACGTACCTTTTGGGGTGCAGAGTTCAGAAAAAATCCGACTTTGAAGGTACATGCCCAGGGGGTACACATTTTGGGGGGAGAAGTTTTTTAAAATATATATCGTGATGGATAAGGATGTCATCGAAAGCTGCCAGTGTATGTCACCGTTTCAGCGGTGTAGTGGTAGCACATTGGACCGGTAATCATGAGGCCAGGGTTCAATTCCAAGCATTACAAAGCCATTATTTTGGCTTCTCTTGCCTTCCATGTCCCGTTGCTGGAATAAAACGGAGAGACTTGGAAAGCTGAAACGTGGCATGGACGAGCCTACCGAAACGATGAGTTCAGGAGAAATGCAACATTTTAGATCCATGCCCTGGGGGCATATTTTTTGGGGGACTACGTTTTCAAGTATTTTTTTGTCCTGGTGTATTGAGCTAGTGTGGAAAGATGAAACTTGGAACGTAATTACCTACCGGGATTCTGCATGCAGAAAAATTCAGACTTTGGAATGAAATGCCCGGGGGGCATGAATTTCAAAGGGAGATGTTTTCACATAATTTTATTGCATTAGTTAAAGCGCTGGACGTGGAAAGCTAGAAATTTGTATGTATATGACTAACAAGATAAGGAGTTAAAGGAAAATGTTTAGCCTTGATACATCCCTGTGGGGAAAATTTCTGGAGGGGCGATGTTTAAAAAAAAAAAGAAATTGTCCTGGCGAATTGGACAGAAATGGAAAGGTGAAACTTGGCACACGTATAAGTGACGTGATATTATTGAGTTGAGGGAGTATTCAGCTTTCATGATGCATCCCCTCCGGGTATTGCTTTTGGGTAGATCGGCTTTTCCAAACATGATTTTACACCAGCGAAAAGGGCAAACGTATAATATTGAAACTTTGTGGGCATGTAGTTCACTGAGGTTTGATTTCGGTAAAAAAAAAATGGTAATTTTCGGTNTCCAAACATGATTTTACACCAGCGAAAAGGGCAAACGTATAATATTGAAACTTTGTGGGCATGTAGTTCACTGAGGTTTGATTTCGGTAAAAAAAAAATGGTAATTTTCGGTTAAAACACGAAAATTTTCCAATTTTTAAAATTTTCGCAAATTTTCCTGAATGTTCTGATTCAGCAAAACGGAGGGTGCTAGAAAGTTTAAACTTGGCAAAGAAGTACATGATGAATCGCTGAGTAAAGAAACAATTCTACTTTCATCTAATATATATAGACGATCGTGACTGACTAACTGACTGACTGGCTGACGCTAATTCTAACCATGTTCTAGAAAGGTTAGACATCTGAAATTTGGTACACATGTACCTTTTTGGATGCACAGTTCATAAAAAATCCGACTTTGGAGGTACATGCCCTGGGGGGACACATTTTGGGGGGAGAAGTTTTTAAAGATAAATATTGTGACGGATTAGGATGGCATCGAGAGGCTTGACAGGATGTCTTGGGTTTGGTGGTGTAGTGGTAACACTCGTCACCTGCCTCGGGTTCCAATCCTAGAAGTTCCGTGGTATTCTTTCAGCCTCTTATGCCTTTCAAATCGCGTTACCTCTTTCCTAAAATTATTTTTGCTTTAGTAGAACGGAGAGAAATGATGGAAAACTAAAACGTGGCATGGACATGCCTACCAAGACGATGAGTTCAGAAAAAATATAAAATTTTAGATTCATGCCATGTGGGTTCATATTTTTAGGCCAACGTTTTCAAGTCATTTCTTTACCCTGGCATATTGAGCTGGTGTGGAAAGATGAAACTTGGTACGTCACTACCTATTGGGATGCTGCGTGCAGAAAAAGTCAGACTTTGGAAGTAAATGCCCCAGGTCACACATTTAAAAGGGAAATGTTTTCAAATTATTTTTTTGCATCAGTTAAACTGATGAACATGGAAAGCTGGAACTTTGCATGAATGTGACTACTGAGACAAGGAGTTAAAGAAAAATGTTAAGTATCGACACATCCCCATGGAGGAATTTTTTCGCGGGGCGATGTTTAAAAAAAAAGTGTCGTGGCGAATTCGACAGAAATGGAAAGGTGAAACTTGGCACACGCATAAGTGACATGATATTATTGAGTTGAGCTTTCATTCAGCTTTCATGGTGCATCTTCTCCGAGCATAAAAGGTTCGGCTTTTCCAAGCATTTTCTTTCACCAGCGAAAAGGGGAAACGAATGAGGTTGAAACTTTGTGGGTATGTAGTTCTCTGAGGATTGATTTCGGTATTTAAAAAAATGGTATTTTTCGGTTAAAACGCGTCAGGGCACATATATAACAAAAGGCGTATTTTCCCAAATTTTCTGATCAAGCAATATGGAGGGCGTTGGAAAGTTTAAACTTGGCAAAGAAGGACCTGATGGATAGCTGAGTAAAGAAAAAATTATAATTCTATTATACTGTATATAGACGATCGTGAGCAGCTGACCGACTGACATAAGTAGCTATTCGCATGCTTAGTTCAGGAAAAATTCTACTTTGGTGATACATGCCATAGGGGCACACCTTTTCGGTGAACATATTCTGAAATAGTTCTCTTTGCTTTAATGAAACGGAGACACATGGAAAGCTGAAACATGGCAAGAACGTGACTGCTGACGCAAGTGAGCTCAGGAAAAATGTCACATTTCCAAAATATTGGAATTTGGGGGGGGGGGTTATTTATTAAAGTATGAAGCTGCCACATGCATAACGGACGTGATGTTGATTTTAGGAAAAATTCTACTTTTGTTGTGCGTCTCCTCAGAGGACAGGTTTTGGGTGGGTCACTTTTCCAAATCCCTTTTTTTTATCGCCAGCAAAAAGGGGAAACGTATGAGGCTAAAAGTGGGTGGCATGGCGTTCCCGGAGTCTACATTTCAGAAAAAAAAGTTTTCCTTAAAACCCATCAGGGCACTTTTTTATAGTCCAATTTTCTGAATTTTTTTACGTAGCCACTGAAACAGAGACAGAAAATTTAAAATTCCTAAGAAGTACCTATTGGATGGCTGAGTACAGGAAAAATCTTACTTCTGAAATACGTCTCCTTAGCATTGATTATAGGAGGGAGGTAATTCAAAATGTATTCTCCACCCTCACAAAAAGGGACACATGAAACGATTTCAAGTTAGACACACGAGAAATCATAAAAGTAATGGTTTCGATAAAAATCAAGGCTTTCGTCCCCATACGGCACGTATTTCAATGGGAACGTACTTTAAATAAATGATTGCAATTTCGCCAAGAATAAATGAATTAATCACAATCCAAGGTAGTGGAGCGCCGAAGGCGCGACCAATACGAGTTTGTTTGCCCGAAGGGCAAGCAAACTCGCTATATTCCATAAAAATGAAACGGCGTGGTGTAAATTCATCAAAATTCGCAGGAAGACTAATCATTAGAATGCAAACAAAACATTATAAGACATCATGCACCGCACTTGGACGTTTTCGCGATAAAACATGTCGGGAACCTGTCGACGGGTGCATTATGCAAAATATATGTTACAACCTAATATATAGTGGGGGGAAACAGAAGGCAAAACACGCATACCACGAAGGAAAATGTTTCTTATATTTATTCCCATGAATTTCAAAAGTAATGCGACATTATTTTGCATCCCAAACAATTTTTTCTAACCTCAGGTAAAATTTGGATGGTAAAACTAAAGTATAACAAAGGAAAAAATTTCCTTTTCGTGTTTTTTTTTAACTGTGTTTCACCTGCACTTGCATTTACCTTTCACATGTAAACAATTTGTTACTTTCGGGGTACCTTTTACATCCGATTTACCGATGTTACGATTTTCACCCCATAATGTAATTTTCACCTCATATGATTGGAGTAACATTAACCTTGGCGTTATAAATAAAATAGGTTGATGTGGTCCCAGATCATGAATCAAGGCTTTACTTTCAAGAAACTCACATCATGAAATTGTTGCAAACATTTATTTAAGAGGTATATAAGCTAATGACTTCGCGGTCTGATCATTAGCTCAAATTTCTGAATGCATTTTTGCATTAGTCCATTTTGAGTTACATAATCAAAAGTCTATAGGCCAAGAGACAAGCTTAGCCTGACGGAAAAAGAAACATGTAACAGCACAACATGAAGGGAAATATTCAAATAGAGCTGAACCAATATCACTGGGCGAGACGGACTTGACGTCATGACTATGCTATGTCGAACCATATGGGGCATAACGTGATTCCAGCAAGTCCCCCAAGGATGAAAAAGACAAGTGCGAATGTGTTAGCGGCAACATTCTTTTAGGATAACCCGAATTTCACCTTAGCGACTCATCTCTTCGGATGAGCCTGCTTCGGGAGGAATCCTTTCCTGTGAGTCAAAGATAAAGTCAGGAATTCCCCTCTTTCCTCCCTTTTTCTCTCATACTCTATTTGTCAGAAGGCCCTTAAGATAAACATTAGGTGAAAAAGCTGTGAAATATAGTGGAATCAGCAATAACATGTTCTGCGCGTTCATGGAGCGTAGAAGGGGTCCAATGGACCCGTCTTGCCCAGATAAGGGTAAACGGTATCCACCAGTCATGGGTGGATGAACACCGATCGAGATATTTTTGCAACTGGAAAAAGTTGATTTGCTCGGAAATGCAAATTTGAGTTTCGGTTTTCTTCTATCCCGAGAAAATTATGTAGTTTTTGTTAAGGCATACTTCATCTACGCGAAATCGGAAGAATGATTATTTTGTTTTCTTAAAAGTCACAATTGTATGAAATAAAATTTCTTGATTATGATGGCCTATGGAAGTTGGTGCTAGCGGTCATGAACATGCAGTCAAACATGGAAAAAATGATTAGCCAAGAAGAAAGAAAACGAAAGCAGTTCCTGAAATTCATTTGCAGTGGACAGCCCAGTCGAGGGGTGCCGGGTATCTCTTCGGAGCACTCTGACGAGGCACTCGCGTCTTGGGCTCTGGATCTTGTTTCTCACTGATACCGAAGCGCTGATTGACGATTATTTGCATCATGAGCGGAATAATTTCAAGGATTTCCAGGCACAAAGCTAGAGAGATTCCCAAGTATAGACTCAAGACTCCACCCAGACTGCTTATCAGATTCAGCATCTGATGGATTGAAAGAGCGAAACCCAAGGTGACTTCATGGTCCAAGATGGTCTGTAATTGCGAAGGCTGTTGAAACTTACGCTGACAGTTGGCAATTCTGTAATCGTGTCCTTGATGATCGATGAAAAGCAGATGTGCAAATACAGCACCTCCTCTTTTAACTCCTTGTAATTCTGCGCTTGCGTCGGTCCCATCGGACCAAACAGTGACTTCTGCCGAGTAAAAAATTAACGTTTCATTCCAATCTGGAAATCAGTGACTGAGTATCGTGACCGTGAAGATGATGGTACTCACGAAATATGATCTGCTTGGCCAATCCAAAGAAGATACGGTCTTCTTATATTCAATTTCCCTGTGAAGGAGAGAGAACTGAACCGATTTGACATTGGTTATCCCCAGTTACGTAGAAGTTATGAATAATCAATAAATGTACTTATTGATTTTCTAGGAGGTAAAGAATTATGGATCATGGATGGTATGTTCCACGTTAGTCTTCTGTCGTTATAGACATTAAGGGAGAATGAAACGACGCATTCTCTGGATAAGGGATAAACATGCAGCATTGTACTTTTGTATCGTAACGTACATATCCCATGTGAAATCGTCGAAGATGCTTCCACCACTAATTGAGATTTATAAGAAATACACATATTGTATATAATGGCGTCATAAGAAATGATACAGTTGAAATGTGAACATTGTAGATTTAACAATATTTGGAGTTTTCCCCTACCCTAAATTCCATTTTCCCCCTGGGGTTGTGGGAAAATGCAAAATGAAAAAAGAGACCAAAAAGACCCTAAAAATTCTCGCACAGGAAGCTGCTTCTTAGCTTATTAACCAAAAGTAAATTGGGAAGTCTTTTTCCATCAGATATTCCCTGTATGAAACAAGGAAAAATGTTTTTTTTTTCCAGAATAAAATAAGATACTTTTCATTTCAACTACCCATTTTAGTCTACTTGGGAATAGTGCTGCTGGAAACAATAGAGATATGCGAAATCGTGACTCACCCACATTCTGGATTGCAGGGGCACTTGATGCTCCCGTTGATCACTCCATTAACGACAGATGCAGCGCACTCTTTGTCCTTGACTCCTAGTCGGTTAAAAATGAAATGTGTAGGATTGGATTAGAATGAGAAAATTGAACATGAAACAAAAAAGAACTAAGGCCATGAAATTGGCAAATATAGGGACTATGGACTAAGTAATGGTCATGGGAAGGTATTTTGTTTGCTGGATTGGAAGTAGTCATTTCTCTGATTTGAAGTGCTGTGAATTTAACGCTTTGAGTTGGGTTATTATTGTGCTGTCTATTACTAAAAGGCTAAATTCTTTCCAAAGATAATAAAATATTTGAACTATCAGTGAGTCACTCCAGAAAGTAATATCCCTCTTCTGATTTTGATACAAGAGTGATTTTGGATCATGCTGTTATTATCCAAGCGAGAAGCAGTTGTTATAAATGCCACGACATTTTGACACTTGGATTCGATTAAAATATTTCCATCCATGGCTATTAATTAACCAGAAGGGAAGAAACAATATAGATTCATTTTACTCATTCCTGCAACGTGAAAAAAGTATTTCTAATCAGGAAATCTATTACTTTTATTCATTACAGGTGATTCAGGAATTTCTTATTTCAGAAATATCACGTTTATTTTTATTTCTGAACCATCGAGATAGCACAAGACTCCTTTATAATTTTTCAGTTTCAAATCAAATACACAAATTGGCATTAAAGAAACGGAAAGGTAATAACTGGGAGTGAAATTCTCTATAAGTTTGATGCGCTTGAATAACTTTTCCTTACATTCTGCTTCAATGTTCCATTCATTAGCACGAGCTTGAATACATAAAGAAAGATAGGCCATCAGAGTACATAATGCAGACGGACCAATGCAAGGGAGAATGTCATCCAACGACCCCCCCGAGTAGGTGAAATAGTCTCGGATTCCTGTGTCTTTGCAGTTGCACTTGCCCACCGTTGTTGACTGGATGCACATCCTCCTGCACGCCTGCATTCACACCCAATTGACAACCTCATGAAAAAATTCTGTCGATGTGGGGATTCAGAGAAGCTATGCCGGTAGTAGTTCAAACCCATATTGGAGTTTTCAAAGGTTGCAAGTTGCGATACGTCAACAAGGTGATCGACGCAAAAATGTTATTCGGGGAATTTCTTCTCTCGTATGGTGTGTATTAAGCAGAAATACAAATTTTCAAATGCTTGGTGCGCGTTAATGCTCTACAACCCTCTCCAGAATCCTGAATATAAAAAGTTCAATTTTGATAATCATTGAATTCCACTCCATTGCTATTTTCAAACATTATTCACATCCTAATCACCATGTTCAATTCTCTGAATCAATGTGGTGAGTTATTGGACGAGAGATTCCATTTTGGGAAGGTGACCGCGTACTTTTCTTTTGACGAGTAAGCAAATGAACTTTAGCCGCATGTATTTTCTTTGCTTCATGCTACGCAGTTCCCATAGGAGCGGAGCTGCATCGTTCAGCCATCCCATTCAGGAGGTAGGCAAAAGGAATTCCATTCATAATAATCACGCGAATCATGTATCAACCATGATGGTATCTTCTAAGCAAAAAATATTATAGGTAATATGTTCTTCACAATATCCTGGGAAATAATGGAATGGAGATTAAAAAAGATAAAAAATGGATTTTCCGATCGAGTAGACAGTGCATATAGGACATAGATAGATGTTGGACAGACCACAGAGTCATAGACGATGATGGAGGAGTTCGCCGGATAGTAACCGCAGTCGTCCCACGAATTGTAGCAGTTGTGTTCGTAGGGATAAGCCAGTCTCGACACCTCCTTCTACCCGTATTCAGAAAAAATATGGTTCGTTAGTCTCCGATCTTTGAAATGTGCAAGGCTTGGAGAAACCATTCGTTTACGAGAAAATAATGCAACGTTTCTGTCACTGTAACACGTTTTCTTCTATTCATTACACAAGTATGATTTACATGTAATGTTCTGCCCATTTATTTGAAATTCACCCATTTTACTGAGGTTTACCTTTGAATCTGGTACCATCTGCATTACTACATTCTGAGGGTACAAACTCGTCATTCTAATTAATCGGTAAGAATAAATAAAGACCTGTGTCATGGAGATATACGTTGCAGCGCCAGGCCGGACATACAAACGGGATTCATGTAGGGAAGGGTGTTTGTTAGGTCGATGGGCATCCACTATAACTCCACCCTCTCCACCCCAAACCCAATTCATTGGCCAATCGCTCTTGTTCATATACAGCGTCAGCTCCATACCTGTTATTAAATAAAGTGTGACACAAGCTCAATCTGATAGCAAGGTGAGTATGTTAATACCCGTATCGCATGAACATCTGCATGATCCATGGATAGCATGAGACTAAATCTACCTCTTACCCTCGTCAGAGGCATCTTCATATCAAATTTATGGGAGCTCGTGATTGATGCTAGTTCTAACCATTTTCTAAACATCGTTGAAAACTGAATCTTGGTGTACAAGTAGTAATTGGGATGATTAGCTCATTAAAATTCAGACTATGGAGATAGATGCCCTGGAAGCGTTTTATTCCCTTTAAAGGGGTGGGGGGAGGCGTAAAAAATATTTGCTCGGAGTGACAAAGAAAGCTGAAACCTGATGCGAGTGAGACTTGAGATTCTGCTTTTCGGAAATATCCCACATTTCAGATAAATCTCCTCAGAGCATATTTCTAGTAAAGGCCTTTTCTTATCACTTATTTTTGCTCCAACAAATCGGGCTGAACCAGAAATTTTACACGTAAAATACATAATTCCGGAAAAAGTCAGCTTCAGTGATGCATTCCCTGGAGGCTAATTTTTTCTGGGACTTATTTTTCCGAGACATTCTTCCTCCAGGGAAAGGGTACACATTTAGTTGAGTGGAGTTTTATTTCAGTGCATGTCTTTATTCAACGAAGTCATTCTGTCACTTGAGCGTGTGCGCTAAATAATAAAAAATGAAATGAAAGGAAATGGAAATATGGATAAAAAGTTTCGTATACATTACAGAGAGAAAATATAATAAATAGGGACACACACCGCACTTGGAAGGAATACATAATTATCTAGCGCTTCCCAATGTTTAACTTTTTTTAAATTGAGCATAGTATGCCAAAATATAAAAATACGACATGCTCAGAGACACACTTTTTTATTTCTTCGCTCTGAGAATGTGAAACAGGAAAATCTAGTCTTCCTTTCCATTTTGTCCTTTCTCCTCTCCACAAAATCTTCACATATATTAATTGCTTTAATTCTTCAATCGTCCTTGACCAAAGGAAGTGCTCGTCAAATCGAAACACAATTTTGATTTCAATTTTTTGTTTTGATATGCGAGGTGCTACCCAAAAGTTCCCGAAATTTATTTATTAAAAAATAGCAACTTACAGAAAAATTTAGTGGTCTTCATCATCTTCAAAATAGTCCCCCCGAGCATGAATGCAATGGTCCCAGCGAGATTTTCATGCTCGGAAGCACCGCTTAAATTCATCTTCTTTCAATTCCTTCAACCCATCTTGCGATGTGGTTTGGATCTCCTCTATCGTGTTGAATCTCTTCCCCTTGAGCTTTAATTTCATTTTCGGGAACAAGAAAAAATCACAGGGGGCGAGGTCGGGTGAGTAGGGAGGGTGGGGAACGACCGTCGTGTTCGTGGAAGCCAAAAATCGCTGAACAACGAGTTATGTGTGAGCGGGGGCATTGTCATGGTGCAAGACCCAGGATTGATTGGCCCACATATCAGGACGTTTCCGCCGAACATTTTCTCGTAGCCGCCTCAAAACCTCACAGTAGAATAACCCATTTACTGTCTGGCCAGGTGGAACAAATTCTTTGTGGATAATGCCTTTGAGGTAAAAAAAAAATCAATATTGACTTGATGTTGCTTCGAACTTGGCGCGTCTTTTTTGGTCTCGGTGACGATGGGCTCTTCCATTGAGACGATTGTCGTTTTGTTTCGGGGCCATACCCGTAAACCCAGGTTTCATCACCAGTAATGATGCGTGAGATGAAGTTTGGGTCATTTTCAAACATTTCATTCAACTCAGTGCAGACAGAGACGCGGTGTTGCTTCTGATCGTTGGACAAGAGCCGAGGGACAAATTTTGCTGGAATTCGACGCATACCCAGTTCATGGGATAAAATTCGTTGACATGTCCCATACGACAATCCAAGAGCCTCACAAACATCGTGAATGGTCTGTCGTCGGTCTTCATGGATTTTTTTCCGAACCAAGGCAACATTTTCATCATTGTTGGCACATGAAGGACGTCCGGAACATACATCATCTTCAATGGATGTGCGACCGTTTTTGAATCGCTTAAACCATTCGGTGGTTTGCGTTTGACCCATTGCTTCATCACCAAAAGCTTTTCTCAACATTTGGTGAGTTTCAGCTGCCGTTTTGCCGAGTTTAAAGCAAAATTTAATGCACACTCTTTGCTCTTTCACTTCACTCATTTCGAAATCGCAAAAAACTGCAAACACAAGGTTACAAACAAGCACTGTGTAAACAAACGCGATAACCAACGACGACGAAAACTTGTAGACTGACTCTCAGGGAGTGTAGCAAGCAATATCTAGCGGCAGAGCGCCGTACTATAATCGGTTCGAGCGGGACATTCAAATTTCGGGAACTTTTGGGTAGCACCTCGTATCATGACATGACCGGGTTTGCATTAATTCAATCAAATTATGTCTGCGTTCTTCAACGAGAAACTAGTAAGGTCTGCTTCTCCTTCATTACGACCGTTATTCCCGGTTCAGATCCTGGGAATACAAGGAAACATTTAATGTGAAGAGCCCGTATTAACGTACCATCACCAGGTTTGCCAATATATCTGGATCCTGCCATCGGATCACTTGCATTGTTCAAAATCAGGTTGAAGGCGTAGCATGTTACATACGTCGTGTTCAGGAACGGCAAGAAATACCTGTATGAAAGAAGGATAAAGCTATTGCTCCTGCTTCTAAGAAGGTCATCTGGCAAAGACAATAGGGCTTACTTTCTGCAATCTTTTTCTTTGAAGATACACATGCGGATGAATTCATCTCTGTTTTGCATGATCTTGACGTGGTCCTCTGGGTTTAGTCGAGACAAGAAATCAAGGTAGGATGGCCTGTCCTTCAGATATCGGAGCAGCCAAGTTTCCGCGAGCTGATCGAATTCGCTTGGCTGAAGTTTGTAAAGAATAGTCTTTAAACCTTTCTCCAAAATGAATGGCTCGATTAATGTAAAATAGAGTCATTGATCAGTATTGTACCATTGATGATCAAAATGATATTATCCTAAGATCCTCTAGGATAAGGAATAACGAATGTGTAATAAATGTATGGTGTCTAAGGATAGACCTGACCTAACATTGCCATATTGTGATTTGCTTTTTCACGCATTATCTGGATTAATTGAATACAAAAGGGAGTTGAGAACTGAAGATAATGATTTCTTATTTCTACCTTCACACCTCATCCTCATACGAAGTAATTTTGGGGGACGAATATGAATACTATGATGAATTCTCTTATAGCATTCCGGTTGTAATGTGAGCGATCTGTTGAGAGATCGAAAATGGGAAATGATGTGAGATGAAGTTCGTACCTTGTATGGGTTCGTTCCGCTCGATGCTGTCTCATTCGGATTGACACAACCCAAGTCCTGGAATGAAATATGCATAGGGCATCATTGCGATTCCGTTTCTGTTATAAACGCTGGTAAAATCTTGAATGTGGAGTTAATGCTTAGGGGAGCATTGGAAGAATGTACTTTAGCTGCTGTCCCAATAGGATAACGTTAAGACTAGCACTCACGATACCTCATTCTTTTTAATCATAACGGAAATACTATAGGGATGGGGACCTTTATAAATATCTCTCTTTTTTAGATAGACTGGTATCTGTAGAGTCTGAAGTATGACTTGACACCAGGGACGAATCTACGCATAGGCATGACTTTCAGAAAGCAATTGCATTATTTACTCATAATCATGGTTCTATCCTGTGGTCTTTCTACTAAATATATTGAAAGGTCGAGATCTTATGAGTTTAAATATTTCGTGGAACACCTAAAGGTAAATAAATAAAAAATTCCGCGTGAATTTTGCATCCTTCTTAGATGCCTTGCCGATGGATCCTCAATAGTGACCGTTATCACTTTCCACGTATGTTTTGATTAAGACATTTAGGCTTACGTCACCTCTAGTGACGTCGACGTGAGGTTTCCATTACAGACACTCTTCTTTTACTTAGGCTTTTTCTCTTAATAATTATGCGACACGCGGGTTTTCATGGCTTTCTTTAATTTCTTCAACTCCTTTTCTTTTAGTCTCGGAGATTGCCTGCGTTTCATTGCTACAATACATAGACTCAGCGACTTCACAGACAACCATGAAAGCACAAATCTTTGTGGGTCGCCATTGCCGTACCTGTGCTGAGGGATAGTTACTTGAGTTAAGGGCCTTGAACTTGGAGCAAGAGAAACCCGCAAGGTTGCAGACAGTCACAGCGGGGAATTCCAGGTATTCGGGCAATGTTGTCGAGACCGTCGTCGATACAGGATATTGCAAGTAGGTTGTTATCACATCAAAGATCCCCTGGACGAATGAAGCCGAGCAAAAATAAAATTGGATGGACAATCAATGATACTACCATGGCATTACGAGCTACTATTGCTCTTTCTGGAAAAACGGAAGATTATTTGAAAGGGTACTTACGTAGAGGGTAGCAGCAACAGCAACCAAGGTGATGATCCCCCAAAACCATTTCCGAAGTGGTTGTGTTACTCTGCTAGCATTACTGATGCCATTAATCTGGGTGGTATCACAGAACACTTTCAACAGGTTTTGGATTGCCGCCCAGAAACTCATGATCCTCGTTTTCGTTTATCCGAGCCAACTGCAGTAGTGCCAATGACGGCGGAGAGGTAGGTGCATAAATAGGAGACGTGGCCCTTCGAGGAGGGGTCTATCGATTCTGTAGCATTAATGTACGTTTCTCAGTGATTACATGCAGTTGCCGCTCTATCATTTAATTCATATCTTTGTCCTGAAGAGTAATATTGATTAGTCTCATTCATATTCGATTGTATTGTATTGTAAGTTCCACAAATGAAGATTAAAAGTGCTTGTTCGTACTCCAAAAGCAAATTCTTCTTCATGATTCAGAGGAAACATTGCAATCTCTGAAACCTGATTCAGTTCTCATCTACAAAGGCGTTTTAAGAGATTTACTTGAAGAGAGAATGATGCTCTTTCACTCACATATACCCGAATTGATGTGATGCAATGAATTTAATGTTAACGTTGCAGCAATGGATCCGATTACAGAATTGTTTCTTTTTCTTCAATTTCTCCCTACAGAATGTAACGATTTCTTACCTTTGAATGAGGAAATGTATATCTGCTCAAGTGTTTCCAATGACTGGAATTTCCAACCGCTAGGCACACCCGTTGTGGCAATCTCTAGCTATCCAGGTCATTTTACCTCATGCGGGAATAAGCAGGCAAGAAAAAATGTAGCGTAGCAGATATAATTTCATGCTTGTATGATCCGTTTTGGATTTATATATCATAATGAGTTAGCTAATGTATTAGAGTGAAATGTGAGATTTGATTGCTGTCAGTACTGTCGAATGAGGATTAACGAATATCAATAATTTTACGACCTCTCTAATGAATTGGAAATAGTTTCGGTCCTCCAGATAAGATGTGAACTGTGTCCTACATGTTAACGGAGGGCCCCGCAGGAACAGGTGGAAATCTGTTCGCTACTTCTGCGATTTGCTCTCGAGTGACGGGCTATTCAGACACGAGATCGAAAGCAGCGGGTCCATAGCTTTATTCGTTTTTGCAGAAACTTTGCATTGCATTGATCGAGAAACCTGAAATCACCTATTTCTCGTGTTCTTAGTTTTACTGATGGTAGTTTCACTTCCTTTTTATCTTATTAATCAAGGTCAACTGTTTGTATAGTTACCCAAAGGGGTTCCATAAAACATCACTAAGTGGACCGTCCTAGTTACCGTTTCATGTGTTCCATCGTTAACCTTTTCCTTTGTAATCATACCCGCTCGTTTGAATAGCTGTGCAAACCTAGGACTTGGGTTATAGCCCCCTAGCTGATCGATAACGTGCATCAGCATGAATCTTTAAGTAGGGGGCCGGCAGTCCTTTCTTGAAACGCCAATCAGTAAATCTATTGATATGTTGCACGCTTGTTCTTGATGCTCTCCTTCCTTTGTGATCCGTATCTACGCGACCTTTCCTTCGTTCGGGCAATTAAAGTTATTAATTCGGGCACATTCCATCTACTTTAGAGAGGAATCAATGGAGCACAAGCTTCATTCAAGTGTCAACGTGATCTTGCTGTTGTTGATGTCATCCATTAAAGAAAACCAACTCTCTTTGCAGGAAGATCGAGGTTTTTTTAATTTCTCGACGTGATGCAGGCTCTTTCTTGTTAAATTGGAAAGCTAACAGGCTTACGTGCGTGAAGGACTTGAATCTCAAGATCCATGTGTTATGGCACATTAACACGCGAGACATTGGCCATATATAAAAGTCCTAACCCCCAATTACATCTTTTGTGTATTTCTAGGAGGAAAAGGGACTTGACTATGAGTACGGGCCAGATTAGTTCATAAAGGAGGGTTTATTTATAAATTCCACATTTCGGCGCTGACGGATATTGCCCATGTAAAGTATTGGTGTAACGTGAACGTTATTCAAGAAAAAAGCCATGTAATCAGAAATAACATCGACAATTTGTGTCCCCTTATGTATCTGATAATGTGCGGTTAGAACTTGTCTTTGTATGCTAGACAAGTGGCTTTTCTTTGCCTAGATCATCAAGAAAAATAACCAATACTTCAATGTCAACCCTCCAACCCAAAACGAAAGCAAAAAAATTAATTTCCATCGATAATGACACAGAAAGAGGAGAGATGTAGGGTAGAGTGTACGAAGTATGAGGCATTTCGGAAGGAATAATTAAAATCACTACAATTGAGAATAGTGCAATACCACAAAACAAGGGTAAAATTAGGATTCTGAATGTCATATTTGTAGCGCTTTTCTTCATTTCTTCCCTTTTTATTTCATTATGAACCCTAAAACTGACTAATTCGGAGAAAAAAGGTAAAGTAATGGCCAAAGTTACCCTACTCCCCCCACAGTAAACTTCGCCCCCCTTGTTTGCGCACCACTGCTTTAGAGCACCATATATGTGTACCATGTCGGGAAATGCGATGGAAGAATGGAGCATCTAATGTAAATCGCTTTAAGGTACTACGAGGGACCGAGCACGGTGTCATGAACGGTGACATCACCTTGATTTTTACCGCAGATTTTCCCCAAACCTCGGGACTCATGTTCATACCCAAGCAGCATGTTTACGTAAACAAGATATCAATTTTTTGTAAACAATATAAATTTATTGCGATTGCCATGAAAATGACATCGCTTTTACGTAAAAGTTACGTTCCCCTTTTTACGTCACCAAAGTGTACGTGTGTTTTACGTAAACTAGACGTCACTCCATCTGACGTGAAGTACGTGATATCAAGTTTATGCAAAGTTAACATCACACTTTCCATATGAAACTTTAGCTGACCATCCCGCAGTTGCAATACCAAGATTCCTTACTAGATGGAACCCATGTTCCCTGCACCATACAAATGCTAATAAGTACTGGTTTTCTCAATGTAGTATCAGATTTTCCAACCATCCTTCCACTTTTTATTATGCAATCCATGAATATATATATATGGAAAGCAGGAAATTATTACATATTTTAATAATATATGACTCAGGGAATCATTAAATGCTGAAGCTAAGCTTGTTATTACAGGAGTGCACGGGATGAGGGAAAAGTAGAGTCCCACCTCCAAAAGTACTATACCTTCTCTATTCTTAATGGAAGAGAGCTCTTCTAAACATATATTCCTCCTCCCTAGGTCCTGGTAGGGGAGGAGGAACTAGTAAGTCAGCTTGGTACCCTTGAGTGCTGTTGTGGATGAGTACTTGCGTACTCGTGTACTCTTCCAAGTAACCTTGAGTTTCAAAGTATGGAAAGGAATGGGAGAAATACAGTGCATCAATTCCCTTCAAAAGTACGAATTGGCTCGTTAAATAAGCATGAACGTTAGGGGAAATTTGACATCAATTTTACGTAAAATGAATGTAAACATGCTGTTTGGGGATGTAAATGGGAATGTCAATTTCATGTAAAATTTACGTTAATTTTATATGAAATTTACTTATTACAGAGGTGACATTTCTGCAAACATGTTGACATCTTGATGATGGTTTGCTTAAAATATTGAATAGATATGAAATGGACAAAAAGTTTACATTCATTTTAAGCAAAATTAACATGAACATGCTGTTTGGGAATGGTTCAACCTCGTAGCTTTATTCTGCTCCCGGTTAAAAAATAAACTTTTTATTGATATTACTATCTTTGATTTTCTTGTGTTGCAACCACGCATTACAATTTGCCGGGAGAGCCAAAAGAAAACGCGCCGCTCTTTGAAATATTGTGCCACCTCTGAAACAGCAGCTAAGACGATGAAATTCCTTTCATACACACCTCTACGCATCCTTTGAACATTCGAAATTTTTTGGCTTGTTTTCTCAAGCCGTTTCGGCATAAGAGTGATTGTGCAAGAGCTATGAGAATGTAATTTTTGCGCTCGCTTCTGAACGCTGACGGGAGGACCCACCCACTCGGAATGACGTTTATTCTCAGGATTATTCCCTGCACTTTAAAACTCTGACTCGTCCTTACGTCTGGCAATTTGCATGTAATAATTTTGTATCCCGGGATTATCATCTTCAGAAGCAAAGACTTCCTCCATATGAACGCAGTTTTCTTCAGTTCCGGCTAATTTTAGTCTTCTGCTCCTTCGCTTCCTCTCAGATAAAACGACCCCTCGATGCTTGTGAATCAATCTCTCACCCTACATTTATTTCACCCCCTACCTGAAAATTCTTCCAAAATCCTGTCCACCCATCCTTTCGCAAAGAGCAGCATTTTCATGGAGAGATGGAGGAACTCTGGCCAGAGATTTGTGCTCTCCACGCCTACCAACTGCTCTTCCGCCGATACATTTCCTCGCGCAAAAAAAATCGAATCACCTACGCGTTTTCGCTCCTGTGCTAAAACGGCTAGAGTAAAAACGAACAATAATTTTAGAACATTTCAAGGATACGTAGTAGTCGCTACAAAAAAATTTCCCCTGCTCTATTCTATCTCATGAACTCCAATGAATCTCAAAGAGCACCACTTCTTTTGTCCCATCCGGTATACAGGGTGTCATAAAAGTCCGGAATCAAGGGGAAATAGCACAAGGAACAAGGCAACGAGTTCATTCCGGAACTTCATAGTTCCCCTAATCTCAAAACCTGGTCCAAGTGGCCCATGGTGACACATGGGGGCCCAAAATGATTCAATTATCCAATCGATACAATTTAGACTTAATTTACCTAAGGTGATACTGTGAGGTGGTCACTCTCTCAACTTTCGGAATGTTTTTTGTGTTGATGTATGATTGTAGCCCCTGGGGGAGTGACCTCTGTGCAGCCCAGCCGTGGTTCACAATCCCCCAGTGTGCCTGGATATCTTGACCATATTTGTCAGTTCTTTTTGGTGAATGTTTGTTGCCGGTTGTGTGTCTTCGTGTCCTGCTCGGGTAGGCAACACTGTCGAGGTGGAAGGCGTGAAGGCAGAGGCGCTAGTTTCGCCATTCCCTGCCACTTCCTCCGGCATGTGCCTCGCCTCGCAGTGTCTCGTTGTGTAATGCCTTTGAATGTGACCCAATAAGAGCAGTGTGTTAAGTCTTTGTCTTCTTGTATACTTGTGTTAGACCTGATATGATGGATTAATAGTCATTGTAGGCCTAAGCTGGTAATGTGAGTTTCTCCCGCGCAGCCAACCTTTTGCCTAGCCGTGACCATTTGTCAGAATCGTATCGCACCTTGGGTGCGGGGATTTGGCCACGGAGCCAAAGGGTCACAAGGGCTAGAAATGGCCAGGTTAACGTATTCGATTTAGATAAATGTGTGATGTGTGTGATAGAGAAACCACTTGTTTTTGTTTTGCGCACTGCTTGACACAGGGCACAGAGCCCCTAAGCCTTCGGCTTCCTTTAACATAAAATTCATCACGACCCGTGACAATACAAGTTTACTAATATTGAAACGGTGACCGGATTCGGTCAATTTGAGTCCCATGGTCCATTGTCCATGGGTCACTTTTGGTCTCTTTTGGCCAACTATGGCTTCCGTGAAAGAGTGAGATTTAGGGTAGGTCATTTTTCGGTCACCACGGGTCACCATCACACATTACACATTCTAGAAAAAGTAGGTCCTACTTGGGTCAATTGAACAATTTGTGGCACATTGGGTCGACATGGGCTACTTGAATTCACTTTCCTTCAGGACTTCCATGCAGGAAATTCGTGATGGGCTGGGATCGGTGAAATGGTGTCGTCTATGTCTTTTCTGTGAAATTCGTGTGAAGTAATAAACGGAACAGAGACAGCAGGCAATGCTTGAGGCCTTTATATCCGAAGAAGCAGAATAACGTGAGATTCCAGGAAATGGGGCCAAAGCGGATCACCTCAACGGATCACTTCAACCATGGTGCGAGGAATCATTCAATATTTCACCATGGTGCGGGGATCCTCATCTTCTCCAAACCAGAAGATATCCTTCTCGAGCTTGGAGGTCTCTTCCTTGGCGGTGCACTCGCCGACGTGGTACAACTGTGTGGGCATTCAAGGTAAAACAGTCTCCAAGGTCAGCAACAACGTGTTTCAAAACGGAAGTGTGGGGGAAAATATATAGTTCCATCAATATTTTTCCCTCCACTTTTGCTCTTATTTATCCCTTTGGAAAAACATTGAATCTAAATAAACGGAAAAGAATATTCCACACCGCTCATCGTTAGTCGGGTGATGCCTTAATTTCCTTCCACTTCAATTCGCGGTATATTTACCAGGTTTTAGATTCAACGAAATCGGCAGCCAGGAGCTGACGGCATTAGAATGCAGTTGCAGGATAAAAAAGGGAGAACTGGTGAGTCCGTGTCAAAAACAAGAATACAGAAAGAAAGATGAAAGGATAGGAGCATAAGGATCAAGAAATAAGAGGTGAAGACGGGAAAAGTATTTAAACAATTATGAAAAATATATGAATAAATACCACTCCTCCATATAAGAGTGTTCAACAGGCATGATCATCATGATTGCCATCATTACCATCATCCATAGCGCATTCAATAGCACCATCATTAGCACCATCATGGTCAATGTCATATATCATTCCTATGAGGCTTACCTAAGTCCACTCAGTAATTGGGGTTGTGTCGGTTTGCAGAGACATCTCTGAGAACTAATTTCACATGAAAAATGTCAAATATCGTTCATTCGTCTACATTTAGGGAGGAAAATAGTGCTGAATTGAAATTCGATAAACCGGTGATGAATCGATAAAATTGCTAAATCGATCATTAGCGATCGCTGGTTTCTGTTGCTGCCGTATTTGCACATTTGAGTGATGAGAGGGATGGAAAAGCTGCTTAGTCATCTATCAACTAATGCTAGCCAACTATTCTATCAGGAGCCAAAAGAGAAGCTCCCCAGTGAAGTGTTTGATCATGTCAGCCAACATGTCGCATTGTTTGTACCTCGCAACATGATTTTTGCTCTCATCTACCATGGCTGGATCTACTGGATATGTGACTTCCGAGACGGTCATGGCTTTCACTGTTTCACGTCGCGACGACAGTGATGGTTTAACACATTGACTGCCAAGCCCTTCTAATGAAAGTGCATTCCACCAGGCCAGAGGAATGCCCTGCATCTAATGGACTTTGAACCTTGACGTTTTAATACAAGACACCGTTTTATGTAAAAATGCTTGCGACCAGAAAATGATATAAGCCATAATGGATTGACATTGTCTGACCACATAATATTCCAGTTGTAGCCATGTAAACCACCAATAAGTGACGCGGCTATGAACCCACTCATTTTTTTCTATTTCTTTTATCAGTTGAATAAAAACGTCCGGTCAAATTCTTGACCAAGAGGACATGACACGTTCATTGCTCATTCCTTCGTGGAAATGGTGTATTCAGGAAATTATGAGTTTGATAGTGGAACTACATTTGCACCACCTCTTGATCTCCCAAGCAGCATGTTTACGCGAACAAGATATACATTTTTTGCAAACAATGTAAATTTCTTCCGATTGCCATGAAAATACATCACGTTTACGTAAAATTTACGTTCATATATTTACGTCATCAAAGTGTACGTGTATTTTACATAAAATAGACATCACTCCATCTGACGTGGAGTACATGATATCAAGTTTATGGAAAGTTAGCATCACACTTTCCATATGAAACTTTAGCTGACCATTCCTCAATAGATGGAACCCTTGTTCCCTGGACTCTATAAATGCTATTAAGAACTGGTTTTCCCGATATAGGATCAGGTTTTCTTACCATCCTTCCACTTTTTATCATGCAATCCATCAATATATGCATGGAAAACAGGAAATTACATATTTTTAATAACGTATGACTCAGAGAATCATTAAATGCTGAAGCAAAGCTTGTTTTTACAGCAGTGCACGGGATTAGGGAGGAGTAGACACCCAGATCCACAAGTAATATACCTTCTCTATCCTTAGTGGAAGAGAGCTCCTGTAAACATCTATTCCTCCTCCCAAGGTCCTGGTACGGGAGGAGGAACTAGTGAGTCATCTTGGTACTCTTGAGTGCTGGTGAGGATGAGTACTTGTGTACTCGTCCAAGTAACCTTGAGTTCCATAGTATGGAAAGGAATGGGAGAAATATAATGTATCAATTCCCTTCAAAAGTACGAATTGGCCGGATAAATACGAATGAATGTTATGGGGAAATTAACATCCATTTGACGTTAAATGAATGTAAACATGCTGTTGGGGATGTAAACGGGAATGTCAATTTTACATAAAATTTACGTTAATTTCATATCACCGTTTACGTATTACAGAGGTGAAATTTCTGCAAACATGTTGACATTATCTCGATGATGGTTTGCGTAAAATAGATATAAAATGGACAAAAAATTTACATTCAGTTTACGTAAAATTAATATAAACATACTGCTTGGGCTTAGTGATTCTGATAATTGACAATGGTTGTGATGTGACAGAAGTGTTTATGAGGACGATCAGCAAGATTTTTAAGACAATCGATAGTTAAGAAGCAGGTAATCATGGTGGAACTGGATGTTCAGGAACAAGCACCATATTATCTATTTTTCAGAAAGTTTTCTCTTTCACGAACACCTATGGCCCCAGTAGCACAAAACATTGAATTAACATCTATTGAATGCTGACTCAACGTCCGAGTGCTGGTGCGATGCTTCTTCTATGTTGATTCAATGCTATGTGCTAAGGGGGGGGGGGGTTGATTGCTGATCATGATATATTCAATCCACTTTAAGCTTATGATCTTCTCAATGATCCTGATATAAGAGGTATTAACTGCCTTGCCTAGAAAATTTTTAAATGTAACACTGTTACACAGTAATCTCTTCGATATGATGGGACCGTTACTGACTGGACTGATCTAGGAAGTTCTCAAGCCTGCTAAATTGAATGGGTCTTGTGTGGGACAGGTTAGAACTAATCCTTTGTATGGTGCATATCTATGACAATAGTAATTTTGAAAAAGGTGATCACATTGCCAAGATTTAACTTCTACTGTATGCTCTAGGGGATAATTACCAAGAGACCTGATCAGGCATTACTGAATCAGTGGTACCATGACCTGGTAGTTTGTCATTTCGTCAGTATATGCCATCAAAATGTCAAAACTATGGCATAAAACTCTTCAATCTTGGCACAGAGGATTCATTCACTTGGAGAATAATAATCTATCGCGAAAAACAAGATGATAAGAGGTTTCGAGGCTTGTCGCTAACAGAACAAACGGAAGGTCATGATTTCTTCCACCCACCAGTTTTGCTGAAAAATATTAGAAGGAAAGAAATTGACCAAAATCAGTAACAAGAAACATGTCATTTGTGTCATTCAAGTCTGAAGTAAGAATTGGAACATGAACAAGCCGGGAAGAAGAGTAATATACTGTGCAGTTTGTCCAGAACAACCCACCAATGTGCACGTAATGCTTGAGAAACCACCTTCCTTATCAATTAAGTTCATTTTTCCAAGAATATAGTAAATCAATGTTCCATAAAGGTCAGCATCATGTTGCTTATTATTCAGTTGAGGCCAAGCCTTCGAATTGCTAAGCAAAATGCATACAGGCATCAACCAAAACGGGTCGAAGTAGCTCGGAGTTGAGCGTCAGCCACCCGTGGCTGACATGGCTTGGGAAGAATTTCTTGGTGTCAGCCACGGGTGGCTGACGTGGCAGTCAATGTGTTAAGGTAGGACATCGCCAAACCTGAAACGCTACAGATTCTGAGAAAGGATGACATCCTCTTGCTCAATGGAATGAGAGGCATTTTACGCATTAAGAAAAATATTAAGGGTGGATTTTTGAACAGAGAACTATCCAATGATGCAGCTGTATTACAGGAAAAATCTACGCATATATTACGCAGTTTACCGAATCACCTAACCATGAATGATAAATCGTGTGAAGGCGAGAATGGTCTCATAATGATTGTCATGGACGGAAATCGTGCAAAAAAGTGTTAATTGATTAATTAATTTAAAAGTTAATTCGTTTCTTTCCCTGATGCTACTTTGTTGTGCTCTCTCTTGGATGGGACAACGCAGTCTCTTGGATCTCAACAATGCCCTTTACATCTGATTGATAATTGAATTTTTCTTATTGATAATTAATACTTATCCATGAGGGAAAGACTTCCAAAGTTGACCATTTTGAGTTGAATCGCAAGCTCTCGATGAGTAGATTGCATTGATGCATATTTCAGCTGAGAAAGATGAGGGGAAAAGTAGTAATTTTTATGTGATGAAGTGTGTGTCGAAGGATATGCAGGCATGAAGTGGCGTGCGCGTTCAAATGAGGTAGCCACGTTGAACGGGGGGCGAGAGTGCCCATTTTCGTTTGAGTAAAAAGCCTTATATGCGGTGATAGGCATGACTACTGCACGTCTCCGGTTCGGTGGTGCAATGGTAGCGCACCTGACCGGCAATCAGGAGGCCCGGGTTGAAGTCCGGTCTACTGGCTCTCTCTCCTCCTTTCTTCCCAGCCTCCCCATGCATTCGGTCCTCCTTCAATATGCCCTATATTCCCCAAAATAAAAACTCAATCACCCGAATGCTCGGCCCAATAACTTTTCACTTAGTGCTTTCGAGTTTTTCCTATCTCTGTATATATAAAGAAGAAGTTTTCTGTCTGTACCTTAATGCATTCGGACCCCGCAGGTGCCAGTGAAACCAAACTTTGCATAGTCTCCTTTTTCATCCAGGGGAAGGTCGAGGGCAATGTATCGATCCAAAATGTTCACTCCCGGGGTACTTTTCCGGGGTACTGTAGTGTCTGGGATGGTATTGAGAGGAACGACTGACTCCTGGACTCGGTTGTGCAGCGGTAACACACCTGACCGGCGATCAGGAGGCCCGGGTTAGATTCCCGGCCTTCCCCTGCCTTTTTATCGTCCTCTCATGCCATCCAACTCTCCCCTTCCGGCCACCTGCATTACAGTACCCCGGGGTAATCCCATCTCTGGATCACTTTAGTAGGTAGTAAGTAATATTCTTTTGATCAAGTTTTCATCGAAAATAT